CACATCCAGAGCCATCATGAATTCAATTCCCTTAAAATAGTTCTGGAGAACCTAAATTTAAACCCAAAAATCTAACCATTTGCCTCATTTCCCTAGGAATTCTATTAACCTACTGATAATGAATTTCTTGATCCGAATCTAGATCTCACAGTAAGCAGCGTTTCTTGGGTGCACCTCCATTACATAACAAGGTAAAATGAGTGAAGTGGTTTTCTTTTAAAAAACACACATGTAAAAGATATTACATTATGTACACATATACGCATCTTAACAGGTTGCTCCTCCAAGTCAGGATATTTTATTTTTCATTGTTATCGTGATATTGACATAAACCTAATTCACGTGTCATCTGCTAAAAGCAAAAAACCATGTCTCTCTGCTTTAAACAAAATAAATTGATTAGAATCTTACCCTCATCAGCAACCTGGGACCCCCATATAAGCAATCGTTTCTTTAACAATGTAGGCAGCAATCTAAGGAGGAAGGAAAGCTCATTTTCAAAGACGGACAAATAATAACAAACAAAATGAAAGCTTGAATGAAGCTAATAGAAATTTAAGATTACCACCATTAACTAAGCTAGAGGATATAGCTGGGAAGGAGTGATGTCAGCTCTTCACTCTGGTCGTTGCCAGAAGTCCCGATTTCACATTCACCTCTGACCTCTCAAATAGTNCCCAATCTGTAAATTGCTTTGTACTATCACCTACTCACAGACTGCTTGTACTCTACGGCTGATCGATTATCCTTACTGATGACCTAAACAAATCAAAGACACCTAAATCCTATCAAAAATAAATTTCAAACAATCTCTCAAGCTCATCAAATTAGTCGTATATCTAAATAATAATCAAAGCGTAGAACATAAATTTATACTCTATATCAGAACTGACGAGAGGCAAAAGAGCCTTGATGTGCTTACCAGAGAGGAACTGCACTGGTCCTCGCCAACTTCATGCTTGTGGTGTCATTTGATAAAGCCTTCTTCGGTCCTCCGGCAGCCGGCGTACCTATCGTCCTTCAGCGGGCTGAACATTTTCGAATCGGACAATCGAAATTTCGACAGCAAAAGCTGAGGAGGAAGGTGGGGGTGGGGAATTAAACCTGGCAAGAGGCAGTATGTGCGTTCTGTGAGAGGTGGAATTAAAATTGAGATATTTTCAGAAGAGAAGAGAGATGGGGGAACTCAACCAG